AGTTTTTCTGTATCATTCTCGACGTCATCATTCAAAAGTTCACTCAACTTTTCGACTTAAAAACAAAAACTTAAAAAAGAAAAAAAGTTTACTTAGAGGAATCATAATCTAACTGTAGAGGTCGTCGTCATCGCCTGCAGCAGCAGAAGTGGCAAAGGGATCGGCGGCTGCACCACCGGTGGTTTGTCCGGCAGCAGCAGTGGGGTCAAACCTGAACTCAGTTCCAAACCCTCTAGACTGCTGCAATGTCTGAGCAAAAGCTTGGTACTTGCGAATATCAGCATCACTCACACTCCTCCTTGCGTATTTCATCGACTCTTCGAAATGAGCAGCTCTAATCTCTGCAACTTCGTCCACATCTTCCTCCATTGCCTCTGGATTCTCGCTTCTTCTACGCTCCTTCTCAATATCCTGAGGAAATTAAGCCAAAGTTAACATTTTAGAATTTAAAAGAATTGCTCATGTTCGAAGCAAAAGGAAAAAAAAAAAACTAAATCTCTGACCTTTTCGATGTTTTCTCTAATGGCGTACTTGCAAGCTCTCTGGCAAATCTCTGTGATATCAGCACCACTGAATCCCTGAGTGTACTTAGCGAGTGCAGTCACATCGACATCTTTAGCAACAGGAGATTTCCTCAAGCAGGCCTTGAAGATGTTGAGACGGGAATCCTCATCGGGTAGAGGAATGTAGATAAGCTGGTCGAGTCTTCCAGGTCGAAGAAGAGCTGGATCTATTATATCAGGTCTGTTTGTTGCTCCGATAATGAAGACTGTCTTCTTGGCGTTCATTCCATCCATTTCTGTCAAAAGCTGATTTAAAACTCTGTCAGCTGCACCACCTGCATCACCCACGCTGCTTCCTCTCTGAGTAGCAATGGAGTCGAGCTCATCAAAGAACAGAACACAAGGAGCAGACTGACGAGCCTTGTCAAAGATTTCACGGACATTGGCTTCACTTTCTCCAAACCACATAGTGAGAAGCTCAGGTCCCTTGACACTGATGAAGTTTGCTTGGCACTCGTTTGCTATAGCTTTGGCTAATAGAGTTTTACCACATCCAGGAGGACCATAGAAAAGAACTCCCTTTGATGGCGACATCCCAAACTTCTCAAATTTCTCCGGATGCTCCACCGGGTATTGAACTGTCTGTATTGCAATAAAATGAACATGGATTAGTTCTAAGAACTGGAACAATTTGTATCCAAGCAAAAGACGTTTATAACAATTTTTACCTCTTGTAGCTCTCTCTTAACATTCTCAAGACCTCCAATATCCTCCCACGAGACGTTTGGAACCTCCACAACCTGTGAAGTAGATGATTAGAATCGAAACCGGGTAAAGAAACAGGTTCTGATTCATATACAAGCAGAGGATCAACGCTTACAGTTTCACGAAGTGCAGACGGGTTGCTGTTTCCGAGGGCGGTCTGGAAGTGCTCATTAGACACTGCCATGGAATTGAGGATTTCGGCATCAATATTGTCATCTTCCAAGTCAATCACATCCATCTTCTCTCTGATACATTGAAGGGCAGCTTCAGTACATAGAGCTGCAAGATCAGCACCTACATACCCGTGTGTGTCCTTGGAGATTCTTTCCAGATCCACCTGTTAAAAAAACCAGATAATCAATAAACATTGCAACTAGAAAAATACCAATAAAACATGTAAAGATGTTATAGATTATAGGAATTTTACATCTTCAGCTAGCTTCATGTTCTTCGTGTGGATCCTAAGAACTTCAAGACGTCCGATTTCATCAGGAACACCGATATCAATTTCCCTGTCAAATCTTCCAAACCTTCTCAAAGCCGGGTCGATACTGTTGGGGCGATTTGTTGCTCCCATGACAATAACATGGGCACGCGATTTCAAACCATCCATAAGCGTAAGGAGCTGGGAGACAATCCTCCTCTCGACCTCTCCATTAGTCTTCTCTCTTTTTGGAGCAATAGAGTCAATCTCGTCAATGAATATGATAGATGGGGCGTTCTTCTCAGCCTCCTCAAATGCTTTCCTGAGGTTGCTCTCACTCTCACCAGCCAGTTTCGACATGATCTCCGGTCCATTAATACAGAAGAAAAACGCTCCTGTTTCGTTAGCCACAGCACGAGCAATCAGAGTCTTTCCGGATCCAGGAGGCCCATACAGCAGAATACCCTTTGGTGGCTTCACACCAATTGACTTGAACAGTTGTGGATGCCTCAAAGGAAGTTCAACAAGTTCCCTAATCTGAGCCATCTGTTTCCTGACACCACCAACATCATCGTAACCGACCTCATCCAGCCTTTCCTCATCCTCCCGCTTCACTGGTTCACCCTCACAGAAAATCTCTGTATCAGGAGCCACCACACAGTACTCATCAGGATCGGTTTCAATGACTTTAAACTCCACACTCCTCATTCCTCCTCTCACCAGGAATAGATCTCCCTTCCTCACTGGACGGTATGCTTCCAAGAAGTAAGCTGTTCAACAAATTCAATTATGTGTAAGAAAGCAATCCAAACTTATAAGTTATAACCAAGAACTTAAAGCAATCTAAACACTTAGATTATGACGTAAAGGAAAACTGGAGATTCAAGCAAACTTACGTTTCAGGTAAGCATCAAAGAGGTTTCCAGTAACCCCTTCAACAGTATCATCAACCGGCAAGATGTGCACACGCTTTCCATACTTCACATCCGGGCATTGGTGAATAGAAACAACATCTCCCAGTCTAACCCTCAAGTTAGACCGTACGACCTTGTTCATTCTGATCTTAGGTTCCTCACATGACTCATCAGCAAGGGCAATGCAGACAGTATCCTTTCTCTTCTTACCCTGACAATCCAAAAGCAGAACAAGAAATAGGTTCAGACACACAGATCATATTACAAAGGAAAAACGTCTTTATGACATATAGTCAAGACACAGACAATCTAATCTAGCACAGTTCTCAAACACCATGAACAGAACCTTACAAAAGTCATAATTCAAGACACTAGAAGAGAGAAGAAGTATAACCAACAAGAGAATTCCAATTCAAGCAATACAGACTTTAGGTATAATGAACAAAAGGAACAAAAAAAACCTAACCTTGATGAGAATCGTATCACCACGAAAAATCTGAAGCTTTTCCATGGTGGCTGGATGAAGACAGACGACAGAGTTATCATCGTTAGTGGCTTCGTCTACAACAAGTCGATTGGGAGACTTCTTCCTCTCAAGAATAGCAGTACTGAAATCCTTCTTCGATTTCCTGTAACAAAACCCATGGAAGATCAACTAACAAAACCCTAATCCCAATATCGAAAAACCCATGTAAAAGATCGAAACTTTATGATCGGAAAACTGAGAATCGAAGATCTGGGTACTTACGAGTCGGAGGATTCAGGTTGGTTTGACATGTTGATTGCTGAAATTGACCAGAGAAACCGAAGAAAGTTGAGAAAATTTGTTTCTAGAGAGATCGATTTATAAGAGAGTGTTTTGTGATAATGAGGATCTCAAGAGAGCAGAATTCGGGATTTATACCAATGTTTCTTGTTGGAAAAGAAGCATAATTTTATTTCCTTTTTTTTTATTCTCTTGATAATTGGTAAATTACCCCTACTGTTTATATTTATCCAAGACAATCCCCCTTCTTTTTGCTGTATTAATTACACACACTAATCCCTTTAAAATCACTTTTTCCATAATTAATTAAGTTTATTTGATTCATAAATAATTCAATAAGAGATAATAACTGTTTTTTAGAAAACATATCGACTTTATTTGGACTCATTTGTAAGTCAAGTTATAAACTGGCGAGTGTATCTAAATGTGATTTTAAAAAGTATGGGGTAATGTTGAAAATAAAAGTAATAGAGAGGTGGGGATGGACATATTTCCTTTTTGGTTTATAATGATAACAAACACAAGAAAGGAATAGAAGCCTAGGTAGAGGTCTCAAGCAAGCAACATATTTGTTTTTTTTCAATTTTATTTGGTCTAAAAATATAATGTTTACAAAATTTTGATATATTACACCAAAGAAAAGAAAAAGTAATCGCTGTCTTTAGGGGTGGAACGTCTGGATATCTTAGAATTTGAAGATCTCCGGATCCTTGGAAAAACT